TGTGGGTGCAGTGCTAGGGATTTCAGACATCCCAAAATTGAGGTCATTGTTTTCTTGCTTGATGCGGAAGAGGATTCCTTGAGCTAGATACGGGTGACCCCTAGTTTTGCTTTCCGAGAATTAAGTGTACCTTTTTTTCTTTTTTTGGGGGGGGATCCCAATAGAAAGGGCTATAGTATACGCATATAGGATTACAGTACATTTATATAGGGGTTCCCCTAGTCTTGGGAGACCCTAAACCCTAGACCCTAAACCACAAACCCTAAACCTGACCATGAAAGTGAGGTGCTCCTGCGCCGCTGCGCCCCGCTGAGTATTTGTTGATGCAGCAGCATCTGGCAAGGTGGACAGAGCGATACCAAGCATGTATGAGCCAGTCAGTTTAGGATTTTACTCGTTTGCTGTTAAAGAACTTAAAGTAACTTACCAACATAAGGGTACATATTAGATAATCGGGAAGCCTTGTTATAGTAACTTTATTCAAGTTCCTCGACAGCTACCCATCTTAGGGTTCAGGCAGCATGATCAGCACGAGCTATGCGAGCACCTCCCAAAGTCCGCTCAACCGCATTCGCCCAGTAGGCTCCCAACTTGGGCAAACGACCTGGCGGTTTCAGCAAAGGCGCCCGCGGCAGGACGTGGGACTCCTAATGTAGACCCCTTATTCATACACCCTCTCCTGTTAAGAGGCTTAATATTAGTAGGATCCCTATTATCACCCCCACTAAGGGGAGGGGGTTTATAAGTTAGGGGTCTACAGTAGCCTACCAACCACATGGCCTTGCCGTAACCAGTCAACTCTTACCTTAGACAGCGGTCACGTCGAAGATGCTTGGATTGTTGCATGCCAAGAATGCAAGATCTGCCTGTCTCGGTAAATCGATAGAATATGGGGTGTATATTGTAAGAATGGAAAAGATGGAAACTACTATTTAGGGTGTATATTTAGGGTTTAGGTCATACAAGGACTCGAGATCAGTGTGGAATACTACTCACATCTGCTTCCGAGCACTGAAGTGGCCCTGATGCAACTATCACCTCTTCCGCTTCCAGAACTTTAGCATTTAGGGTGGGCATGGGCGGACTGAGTCAGAACCCCAGGCCAACGCCGGGTAGTAATTCTAGTCAGGTCAGGGACAAGACTTGCTTCAGTTAAGAAAGTGCGCTGCGTAAGGAATCAATGAAGACCAACACCAACAAGAAAAAACAAATATCGTTGGAAACTGCTTTGTGCTTCTGCAAGGTACCCACATCCCCACAGCAGCATCCAACGCAGCATCTGCCACATCCTTTGCCATGAGCACTTCCACTCTTGGCACTCTGCTAGTTCGTGTATATTGTTAAGATATCATAACATATCAGAACATATCATAATATATCATAGTATATGATAATATGTTAGAGTACTTTATTGTGTCTCATAATATGTTATACTATATTATTGTAGCATTAACTCATGTGTTCCATGCTCCTCCAGGGCCAAATGACGGAGTAAAGCTGCCTGCAAAAAGTGAGGAGCTGTTTTGGGGGTTTAAGGTTTAGGGTTTAGGGTTGGTGGAGCGACGTGTTTTTTGGGTGGCTGAGCCTACCAACATTATATTCCGCATATGCGCTGTAGTCTAAACTCCTTGAAGGGGAGTATTGAAGAGCGCATTTTAGGGGCTACCAGGGGGGAAATGGCAGGATACTAGGCGTTTAGACTATGGCTCATATGAAAGACTATACTATACCCCAAACGGGTGGTATATTTTTACTCTACACGGTAGTATACTCTAATCCCTATTATGGGACCCCTGAAAGGGGCACCCCTAATTTTGGGAAACCCCCATGTAAACTAAACCCTACACCCTAAATAGTAGTTTCCATGTTGTTTTCCATTATCCCCATGTTGGGGACCCCCAACATAAACACTACTCAAGTGGCTGAATTGGAAGCAGATGCGCACTGCGCGCACAAGCATCTGGCGCGCTAGTTGCAGATGCTATTGTAATAGACTATGACATACCATCATACACTAATTGCACTGTAATGTAACATAGTATACTAGAATATATTGTAATGTAACATAATATATGCTATAAAATACCATAATATTACAATAAAAATATTGTGCCTTACAACATATGTTCTGCCCAAGCCTTCAGCCGCCGCCGGCAGCCTTCGAAGCCGCCCCTGGCATCGAAGAAGACGCCACACCAAGAAGGTATTGGGGTTCTATTGGGGTTTAGGGTTTTGGGTTTGGGGTCTACAGTTCAGGGTTTAGGGTCTAGGGTTGAGGGCTTAAGGTTTAGGGTTTGGGGTTATATTGGGGTTATATTGTGGTTAGACTGCGGTTATATTAGGGTTCTTTTGGGAACGAAATGTGTACTCTACCAAGTCGCTGAGGATTTAAGGTGGGTTGCCTTACTTTACTAAATCCCTTCGGACATCATGAAAATCCAAGCCATTGAAATCTGTCGAAAACTTCTGGCTCTGCCACAGGACAAGGGAATCCAGAAGGAAGAACATATCCCTAAAGTTGTCCCTTCATCCCCATATTCCTTTGTTCCACTCCCTACTAAACTCTTAACCCTCTACCCTAAACATCCCTAAGCCGGAAACTAGTAGTTTCTATGTTCTTTTCCATGCCTTCCGGCCCTACATGACCCACGTTTTTTCAGAGTCTTCCCAAATGGACACCCAGTATCTACACTCACCAATATTTCCAGGAACCCTATTTTTGATACAACCCCAGTGTCCTAAACTCTAGACCCTGTGCAAGGCCTTGGCTCTCGACCGCGCCCCCCAACTCCTTCGTCGCTACCGGCTGCTGCTCCAAGGTCCTGGAGATTTCCGAAAAAGAGACATACGCGCTACAGTCCAAACTCCTGGTATCCCACTAAGAAGTTTAGACTATAGCTCATATGTGCATTACGAAAGCAGTCTGCAGGGTGAACTTGTGATATACTCCCTCCTAACCTCCCTCGCAAGGGTGACGACTGTGAAAGTCTCTGGAGCTCCTCTCCCGCAAAGGACCATCGAACCCTCATGTAAATCCCTACAATAGTGTATGTAAACCCCCTTAGAGAGTTCCGGACCCTAAACCCCAAACCCTAAACCCGGAACCCTAAACCCTTAGCCCTAAACTCTAAGCCCTGAACCCTTTACTTAAACCCTAGACCCTGAACCGAATCTCTGCGAAGATCTGGCCCGGCCTGTCGCAAGGCCCACAGCAACGCAGCACGATGTCGATACCTCGGCTCGGCTTAGGGTTTACGGGTTTAGGGTTTCAATGCCTGACTCATACCTGGAACTTGAAAAGACCATCACCCTTCTTCTTACTCCCAATATGCTAAGACCAATCCTTATACTTCGTCTGAGACATGTACAGCTCACAGCTGCCAGCCACAAACCTCCAAAGTCTAGTCATGGAAAGTACGAGCTGAAATCCCTGTGTTGACCTGAATCTGCACGCGGCCTTCTACAACAACGTGACAAACAAACGAGCAAAAATGTTAAGACTCGCTTCTCTGTGCCAAGCTGCTGTGGAAGGGCGACACACGCCGCATATAAATGCGAGCAGCAACTGAGGCCTTGTCTTGAAGGAGCTGTTGGTGTTTTGATCCCCTCAAGGGCAGCTGAGGCAAGGACTGTTGGGGCAGTTGCACTCAAAGAGAGCCATGTCAACACGTCGACCTTAATTAGGTGGACTACTTACTATTTAGGGCTTAGGTTTCGGGGTTGACGGTTTGGGGAGACACCCCACCCAGTGATAGCCTCAAAATCCTTTCACCCCTGTGCCACGTGCGCGGAAGACACCATTTGGGCTGAGCGGATGGCAGTTGTCACTGTAGGAGTGCGAGACGAAGACGTCCTACTACCAACTGGAGTGCAGCTGGTGGCACAGGCTAATATGCTATAATGCATTATAATATACCATAATATAGTATACTTTATTATATTATATATAAAGATTATGGCAATTATGATATGCTATGATCTACTATGGCACTATGTCCGGTTCACCATCATCTGCCGGCCGAACCCCATCCTGCAAGACTGCAAACAAGGCTCTTCTTTGAGGCTATATAGGGGCTACATAGGGATTATCTAGTGGTTATGTAGGGATAATGAAACGGAAAATGGAAACTATAGGCATTCTAGAATAGTAGTTTCCATTTTCTTTTCCATTGCCCCAATACAACCCCAATATATACCCTATACTCCCTATATAGCGCCTATATAACCCCTATAGGACCCTTTAGGGTTTAGGGTTCAGGCTGCAAAGCTGAAACTGGAACCTCCATCTCGCCGATCTCCCATCCCTGGTGGGGCCAGTACTTCTTTGCTGACTGCCGGCTTGGGTTTAGGGTTTAGGGTTCAGGGTTTAGGGTTCAGGGTTTAGGGTTTAGGGTATAGGCCTTAGGGTTTAGGGCTTTAGGGTTTAGGGTTTAGGCTTGTGCAGCTCAAGGGGCCTTCTGCCGGACGCCGGAGCCTACGCTGAAGCCCAGCTCCTGCCAGGAGATCTTTGCTTCTTCACATTCTGGGGGTATATCGGGGTTATATTGGGATAATGGAAAAGAAAATGAAGCTACTATATTATATAGGGATATATTAGGGATATGTTGGGGTACATATTGGGGTTATATAGGGATAATGGAAAAGAAAATGGAAACTCCTATATTCTATAGGGTTACATTGGGGTTATATTGGGATAGTGGAAAATAAAATGGAAACTACATTGAGGGTGCCCCTTGGCCCCATGCAACTGGGAAGGAAATTCCTTGCCAAAGGCTCCTCGGGAAGTCGAGCGGCTCTCTGTGCAAAACGTGGAGCCTGCAAGGCACATAGTCCCCCTTAAGTAGATAGAATATGGCTTTGGGTATATTATAATAAAACGCCCATATACCCCATATTCTATCTACTTAAGAGGGACTATAAACACCCGTAGAGGCTGGAGGATTTCCTGTGGGAAGCTGACGCAAGCTGGCTCACACATCCAACATGCACCAGAGCTTTTCCAGCAATTCACTTTCCGGCGGGTCTGCATCTTCATCATGCTTACCTCTGCTCAAGAACGCTGAGGCAATCCAAAACTGCTTGCCGGCTTAGAGCCACTAAGGGTTTAGGGTTTAGGGTTTTGCAATGGCTGAAGGCCGGTCAATGCTTCCGAGCCGCGTTTTCGCATCTGAAAAAGCTTGTCAAGACGCTCCCGCCGCGCCGGTGTGTCCGACACAACCTCACAGTTCAGCGCTTACCACTATGGGGTATTAGACCTTAAGGGTACCTTAATCTACCCTAAATAGGGTCCTAATAGGGAATTTTAGAGTTTAATAGCCCATAGTGGTAAGCAGATTTCAAATTGCCCATGTTGCGCTTGGACTCCTTGACAAGGCACCATTAAGTCGATGTTGAGCCGACGTGCAGCAAGTTGAAGATCCTGCCGATACAAACCCCAGCCGCTATCTGCCATCATAATTGCAAAAATAGTAGTAATTGTAATAGTAATGGTAATAGTAATAGTCATAGTAATCATAATAGTACTAGTAATAGGACTAGTAATAGTAATAGTAATAGCAATAGTAACAATAAGAATGATGAATGTGCCATCATGGTCATGGTCTTCGACGGAAGCCCGCCTTAGAATCCTGGGCCATGAACTCCTTGCGAGTCACGATTCGCCGCACGCCTGCGGCTACCAGGACCATGAAGCAGCGCTTACAGGGCGGCATGGTGACCTTAGCAAGCCCATGACCAGTGAAAGAACCTTTCTGTGACGCAAAGCCAACTGCCCAACTGCCGAGACACGTAAACTGAAGACCCTTCAGTAGTCCGCCTCAGCAGTGGCATGCAGTCACGAAAGCTTTGAAGCACCAATTTGAACTGGCTGGGTTGCTGTTAAGGAACTTCAACTAAATTAGCCCAATATGGGTATATAGTAAATAGCACGTTTTTCTTAGTATCGCAACGTAATTCAAGTTCCTGAGCAGCAACCCAGCTGGGCCACATCGTTTTTCTGGGCCTGGCACCCCAAGCGCGCACAACGCCCGATGGCATTGACCTCTGCATGGAGGTCAGATGCAGGGCGCCTGGGCGATGCGGATATTTCACAAGACAGTCCCTGTGCAATCCTTTCTGGGGACCCTCAGAATCCAACTACAATTCCTGTGTAGCCTTGGGGGTCCCGGTAATCCCTATAGTATTGGGGTCCCTAAAAACCCTAGCTTGAGAAACTTCCATGTGGTATCTTTCTATCCTTCCCCCTTCCCATGAGCCGTGGCACTTTGCATTTGGTTCCCACAACGGCCCATTCACGTGACCTGTGCCAGGGACATGCAGAATCGTCAAGCCCTGAACCCTCAGCCCCAAACCCTATATAACCCGATTATAGTAGCTTCCATTTTTCCATAAGCCCTATATAACCCCCATATATACCCTATATGATAACGAAGTGTCCATTGTATTTTCCATTATCCCAATCTAACCCAATATAATCCCAATATGCCGTAGTAGTTTCCATTTTCTTTTCCATTATCCCCATCATAAACCCTAAACTGAACCCTGGATGCCTTAACCCTCAACCCTAAGCCCTAAACCCTAAACCCTAAGCCCTAAACCCTAAACCCTAGGCTCCCTGCCTGCAATGATCATGCCAGACTTGTCAGCGATGGCACAACCCATGCTGCCAGCTTTGCAGCTTGAGTTTCGTGCCAGTAGCAGCGCAAGATCAATGCCTGAAGACCGGGGAGCCCATGACAATGGAAATCAAAATGGAAACTGCTATAATTGGGTTATATAGGGATATTATCAGGGTAATATGGGGATTCCATTGGGATAATGGAAAAGAAAATAGACTTTTCAACAAGTAGGGCCTCCTGATAGACCCCCAAACTCTAAGATCCATATAATAGCGACCCCTCAAGCAAGCACACCTTTTTTGATCTTTTTGGGAAACCATACTTACCTGAAGGCCCGAAACTAAGCCAGGGCCCTTGCGGCGTTTTTGGCAGTCAAGGCAAGTTGCCATTACAATCTCCGCTGAGATCTTCCAAGGGAGTCCAGCCAAAGCTTTGAACGTCCTTCAGATTGAGCTTAATTGGGTTTCTGTTAAGGAACTTACATTAAGTTACCATAATGACTATACATAGACTACGGTTTCCCAATATAGCAACTTAAATTAAGTTCCTTAGCAGCAGCTCGGTTTTGGGGCCAAGGGGGTTTGGGGTTGGGTGCACATCTTCCAGAACTCCTCCGGAAACGCATCTGGCTGAATGCCAAGCACCGCTGGCACTTCCCGCACTTCCGGCACCGGCACAGCCATGGTGCTACCGACTGCTCACATGATTCCAAGCCCTTTGCTGCTGTTACGGCTGCTTGCGGAAGATTGTTTAGGGGATCATTTAAGGATTAGATAGGATTGTATGGAGTTACATGGGATTGCATAGGGTTATATGGTTATTATTGCTTCTACGTGAGCAGGTCATGTTCTTGAGCTACGAGCTTGAGGTTTGAAATTGAGGTATGCTGAGGCTGGCCTTTCTGCAACCCATTGCCACAGAGCCAGAAACGCACGCACACGCGGACAAAGATTATCTGCCGATGCCTCATGCAAGCTTCAGCTTCAAACACACAATGCTAAACAATTGGGCAAACGGTAGTTTCCCGAAATGGGGGGGACTTTGATAAAGACCTCAAAATACTATAATCCTGATTATAGGGACTGGGAAACCCCCACATATGTTGCCCAATTGCTTTTTGCAGGGCGCCTGCTGCCGCTTGGCAGGGGTCACTTGCTTCGGCGCCAAGTTCGGCCGGACGGCTGGACGTGTGCTTGGAGCCCTGAGGCTTAGGGTTTAGGGTTTAGGTCTTAGGGGGTTTAGGGGTTTAGGGCCCTGTGGTCTGGATCTTGAGGCTTAGTTGGGGTTTAGGGTTTAGAGGTTTAGGGGGTTTAGGGTTTAGGCTTGCGGTGTAGGGTTCATACAGGCCATCAACACCTGTAGTATACACTCTATGAATACCCAACATCTACTCGCAAGATCCCACCCTAAACCCTAAACCTAGACCCTGGGCCCTAAGCCTCACAAATTATTGACGCTTCCCGGGAAGTTCTGCAGATCTGGGCCTGCTTGAACTTGCAGCAGCTTTGTGCTCCTCCCCAGGGACATGAGCATTTGGGACCTTCCCACATCAACAGCTAGGGCCATCTTTGAAATGTTATATACATATAATTGTGTGTTTTCCACGGAAATGCATATATATATATATATCTATATCTGTCTATCTATCTATATATGGATACATATATATATATACATAGAGGGCTTAGGATCCTTGAAACAAAGCATTCCCTGCAAACTCATGCTTCTTGAAGAGAGGGCTACACAGGGCTTCATGTTAGACACGCCCGGCACCCAATTCCGTCTCCTCCTGCCAGTCGTCATCTTCCCAGTCGCCATCTTCCCATTCACCATCTTCCCACTCACCATCTTCCCAATCTTCTTCCTGTCATCGCAAGATAACGCTATATGATATAGTAGTTTCCATTTTCCTCTCCATTATCCCTATATAACCCCAATACAACCCCAATATAATCCCTATAATCCACTGCGCACCATGAACACCGACAGTTTGTGGTAGCCGTGGGCCAGACGCATTCGCAACACAAAAAAAAAAAACGCAATACGTGACGCAGATGTGCCGACGTCTAGGAGGCCAAGAAAAAGAAGGGAACAGGATACTTTCCAACATAGGGCTTAAATAGGGATTATATAGGGTTTTATAGGAGTTGCATAAGGATGATAATAATGAAAATGGAAACTACTATCACTTTTCCCGCCTCCTCCCATTGCTCCTCTGGCCACACTTCCTCCTGCAGGCCGTGATGACATGAAAAAGGGCAAGCAAAACTCAACGCTCAATACTGCATTACATGAAGCTCATCTCATCCTGTTGCGATCTGTAGGTGGCCTTGCAACAACATATGAATCTCTGACAGGGTTTGCAACCATGAATACGTGCCTTGTCGATGCGCTGTCGCTTGGCCTGGGCAGACTCTGCTTTAGACAACCGCACAGCACATCAACAAATCAAATGACCATAGTCTAAGCTCCTTAAATTGGTTCATATAGGGGATCCTATACTACTGTAGGGAGGCTTACCAAGGGGGATACTAGGAGTTTGGACTATAACCCATATAATTCTCTTTATAATCCCAGTTTTCATTTTATTTTCCATGTTCTTTTCCATTTGATTCTCCATTATGAAGGGGGATACTGGGACTTTAGACTATAGCTCATTTAACCCTAATATAGACCCCATTATAATGAAGTAGCTTCCATTTTCTCTTCCAAAATCCCCATAAATCCCCTGTACTCCGATATTTCCTACTAACTGACTATAGGAGTTTAGACTATAGTACTACCATAAAGTTTACTAGGGGGGATACTAGGAGCTTAGATTATGGCTCACAAGACCCAGACCTGGTGCCAGCTGGTCTGCGGTTTGGCCCGAGCAGCGTGGGACTGCCGTGCCGGCTGCGGCGGAGGCCGCGGAGGCGGCCGCGGAGGGGGCCGCCTGGGTTGCTGCTAAAAAGAATGCAGTTTAACTTACCATATTGGGGAAACCCTGCTATGTAATATATATATATATGCTTATATTTATATATATAGAGATGTACCCATTATGGTAACTTAATTTAAGTTCCTTAACAGCAACCCAGCCGCGGAGGGGGCCGCGGAGGCTGTGGCGGCCGAGGAGCGGAGCTTGGTCTGGCGCAGAGTCCCCAAGATAGCAAGAAGCTCGCAGGCTCACACCCACTTATTATATTCATTTATATTCATGGTTTAGGGTTGAGGGTTTAGGGTTCGTGTATATTTATAGTAGTTTCCATTTTCTTTTCCATTATCCCTATATAACCCCAATATAATCATACTATAACCCTATATAATGTAGTTGTTTCCATTTTCGTTTTCATTATCCCCATGTAACCCTAATATAACCCCAGTATAACTATGTCAAATTTCTTTGCAATGCCATGATTTTGTCCTTGTCGCCGCGCAACACGGCCTCTTTTCTGTTGGCGAGATGCTCTACAGAGGCTCAGACATGGTGGAAGTGAGCGGAGGGAAACCAGCTCGAACTCAGCTAGTTTACCCACACATCCATGGCGCGTTCAGTTCACCCAGAAGTGCCTATACAGCTCGGAGTGAAAGCTGCGAACAGAGAGGCCTCAGGTACCTGGAAGATGCTTCTTGGAGTCCATGGCCCAGGATGCTAAATGACTTGGCTCAAGTATCGCGCAAATCGCGCGGCTTCCGTTCTGCTCCAGTTGTCACAGGCCGCTCCCGTTGCCGCGGCTTACCCAATGCTGTACGCAGCGCATGCAAGGCAATACCTCAAAGGGAAAACGGGCGTAGGGGACAGAGGTTTGGGCTTGGGGTTTGGGATTTATAGTCCCTCTTAAGTAGATAGAATATGGCTTTGGCTATATTACAATAAGATCCCCGTATACCCCATATTCTCTCTACTTAAGGGGGACTAGAGTGCATGGGCTTAAGGGTTCGAGGGAGTACACTTCTCCCTAAACCCTAAACCCTAAACCCTAAGCCCTAAACCAGGTTTCAGGGTGCAAGTGCCATCTGCCTGCTGCCACGCCTACATTGAGCGAGTCTAGGCCATCCAAGTTCTCGCCCGCCCGCGAAATTCCAACAAGCCTTGATAGGGTTTAGGGTTTTAGGGTTTAGGGTTAAGACAGAAAGTCATGTATGCTCAGGAGACTCATCTTACTGGAGGCTAGTAGAGAATAAGAGAATATAATCCCTACATAGTTCCTACCTAATCCTTACATATTCCGTATATACTGGATTCCCTCATTCCCTACTTACCCCCAGTAGGTCATATGTGATTTGCATCTCAGATCGCCACCTGTCACAGCCACGGCGGACCTGCCAAGGCTTCAAACACCTCAACAAATCCTCCCCTCGTTAACGGAGTCCCTAGAGTGAGGATTATCGTATTTGGGGGTCTATATTGAGGTACCCATTACTCCACCCTATATTACCTATATATTCCTAAAGTTACCGTATTGAAGAGCCCTGCATCTGCTCCCTGTGTATGTACATATATGGTATATGCATATATATATATATATGTATATCCAATAAATTTCTACGGAACCCCAAACCTAACCCTAAACCCTAGAACCTCCATTAAAACACTCACCATGTCCAGCCTCGGGCCGAAGACCAGGTCCTTCTGGGCCAAGGATCAGCAAGACGCCGGTGTCCTGCACTGACTTGTTCAAGGAAGCCCGAGTTTAGGGTTTAAGGTTTGCGGGCAAGGGTTGCGCGGACCATTTTGTAAAAAATGGGCGGGGGCTGCGCACCCCTAAACCCCCATGCTTACAACAAAAAATCATGTTTCGGCATGTTTGCAATAGGGCAAGGTTGTGCATTTTGTTTTTGCAAATGGGGGCGCTGCGCCCCCCCCAAACCCCCGCTTGGTTAAAGCCATCATTGCTTACGGTGTATATATTAAAGAAAAGAAACCTGCCATCGCCATGTGTGCCATAAAGGGGGTAAGGGGAAGATGCTTGTTTTTCAAAATGATCCCACTATACTCCCCATGAATCCTCAGGGTTTTCAAGGGTACCTTTACTCTGAGAAACCCCCACACAGCTGTGGATTCCCAAATGTTGGCTCACAACTCCTAGCTTTGGAAGACTTACTGGTTGAAAGTAAGGAATAACGGAATATACTATACAGGGATTGTAGCGGAATTCTAGCCCCTTTTCCCTACAAAAGGATGAAAGATGCACTCCGCTCCAGCTGATCAGGCGTCTGCAGCCAATCTTCCAGCGAGCTGAAGGCAGGTTCGCCCCTGGCGAGTCAGATCAACCTCTAGAACTTATAGTCCCCCTTAAGTAGATTGAATATGGCTGTGGGCATTTCATTATAGGATCCCCATATATCCCATATTCTATCTGCTGAAAAAGAACTATAGATACATATCATACATGTGTAAGGTATATGTATATATCTCCATGAATCTCTACGGAACCCACACTTTAGGGTTTAGGGTTTCGGTATATGGTACACTATCTATATATATGCATATATATATATCCATGAATTTCTACGGAACCCAGAGTTTAGGATTTAGGATTTAGGCTTTAGCTTCTCCAAACGAGCCCAGCGCTGCTCGCCCTCTGCTGGCAAAGCGGCCCCAACCACCAGCCAACCTTGTCGCCGGGCCCTGCGCAAAATCAGACGAGCACTGTTGCAGTTGATTCTGAACTATTGGGTTTAGGGTTTAGGATTTTTTTTGGCGGACCTTTTCTCCAGGTGCATGTCCTGGCGATGCCCTTAGGGGTTTAGGATTTAGGGTTTAGGGTTTGATAAGATCCTTAGACCTATATGATCCCCATATAATACCCATATAGCTTCTAATGAGATAGCCCCTATACATCCTTTCCCACTGTACAAAGACCACCCGGGCATGAAGCAAAGAAGCAAATTGTGCGAGGCCTGGGGAGTAACCGCTCCAAATCGTTCGTATGGAACATTTCCATGATTTCGCCTGCTCCCGCCTCAAGCTTTAGCGATTCAGGTGGACTAAAAAAGCCTAACAGTGCCTGTTGAATTTTAATAAGGTTTTGGGGCATGTTCTACTATAGCTCTATAAGGATTGTGATGGGATTATGTGGTAGTTTCCTAAAATAGGGGGACCCAATATAGACCCAAATATACTGCAGTCCTTATTGCAGGGACCCCCAAAAAGGTACCCCTAATTTTGGGAAACTCAAACCCTATATAACCCCTATACAACCCCGATAGAACCCCTATGATCTCCCTTAATATCCCCTATAGTAGTCCCCTCTACACCCCCATATAACCCCCTTCAAGGAGTTTAGACTATAGCTCATTTTTTGCAACTTAATAAACTCCTAGTATCCCCCTTAATAACCCCTATAGTAATCCCCTAAGCAATCTCCCATGTAGTCCCTTTTTAAGCAGTTTAGACTATATATAGCTCATATAACCTTAATATATACCTTATTATAACGTAGTAGCTTCCATTTTCTTGTCCATTATCCCCATATATCCCTATCTTCCCATATTCCCTACTAACTGACTATAGGAGTTTAGACTATAGCTCATGTTGGTAATTCCTTGAGCTCCCTGAGAGCAAGGCCGATGCTTTGGCGACCACGGGCGAGTAGCGCGTGCATCCCCTCTCACAGATCACGCCTGCACAGGCAGGGTTTAGGGTTTAGGGTTCAAGGTTCAAGGTTCAGGGTTTAGGGTTTGAGGTTTAGGGTTTAGAGTTTTAGGTTTACCCAAGGTTTAGGCTGTAGGTGAACAACCAACTTGCCAGAGCCCCTTGCGCGCTGGTTCTTTGTAGGGAACTTTAAGGTCAAGGTTCTTGGCATATTCAAAGTCACCGAATTGTTTAGGGTAGCTTCTCCGGTGTCATGTTCTTGCTCAAGGTAGGAATTCTGGCATTCTGAAGCTTCAAAGCGAGAAGGAATAGTTTAAGGTTTCCGGGCTCAACAATTTCTACTCGCCCTTTCCCAGATTCAGAAAGCAGAACTTGTTGGACCCTGAACCCTCAACCCCAAACCCTAAACCCTCAACCCTCAATCCTGAACCCCAAACCCTTAACCCTCAACCCTAAACCTCAAACACTAGACCCTAAACCCTCAACCCTGAATCCCAAACTAAGACAAAGCTCTTAGGCCTGGGTCTGACAATCACAACGAGCCAAATCTTAAAGCTCCGCTTGAAACGAATTACTAGCTTAGGGTCTAGGGCTTAGGGCTTTAGATTTAGTGCTTAGGATTTGGGGTTTAGGGTTTAGCACTCAACAATTTCTGTGGGACCTAGACCATTGAGGCGTGGAACCTTCATGTAGGGGGTTAGTTGCTTTGATACTTTGATATTAACAATGTCTGTGGGCCTAAGCCCTAACTGCCAGACAAGCTTTTAGGCTCAGATCCCATAACTCAAGCGCTTCAAATCGCACAGAATTGGGATCTTCTTTCCTAGAATTGCCTTGGTATCATTGTGAATGCCCAAAGATTGCGGGTACCTAGGTCTTATCTCTAGAGGACCCTAGAACCTAAACCCTCAAACCCCAAAACCCAAACCCCAAACCCCAAACCCTAGACCCTAAACCCAAAGCTTGGCTTAAAGACAAGTCGGGCCTTCGACGCCGAAGAAGGTCGCTGACCGCAACAGCGACCCCAGATTCATAGGGTCCGTCACACCCTGGTTTTGGGGTTTAGGGTCTTAGGGTTTTGGGTTTGAGGGTTTTACTCTTTTTAGGTTTAGGGTTTTAGGGTTTAGGGCTTAAGGGTTCCAAAGCAAAATCTGCTCAGACTTAGCTTAGGGTTTAGGGCTTACTCCTGGTGCCTAGTCAGGAATGGGGGAATGGGTGAAATTATCTAGGGACTGCCATGGTGATGGATGCCCACAGGTCACGTTCTTCCCGCCTCCAGCGCCAACCACAGAGCCCCTTTTGCCGGACGTGGCAGCTCCTGTACACTTGCTGTAGCACCCTACACCCTAAAGCTTAAACCCTAAACCCTCAATATAGTAGATGGCAGCTTATGAATGCCGCAAAAGTTGTCTCGTTGTTTAAACGACCTTTTGGCTCGGGACTTCAGGCAAACCTCCTGCTGCCACAGATAGCACCTATTATAAAAGGGTACCAAAATGGGACCATAAATTGTGGAACTACCCGGGTATCGAAAACAACTCAGCTTTTGGAGCTTCTCAAAGGCTGCAGATGCTGGGCCGTAAACACGGTAAACTGCAGAATTTGGATTTGAGGCTGCAGCTACTGGGAACTGCAGCATGATTCCCATCTTGCAAGTTCTTAAGGTTTAGGGGTTCAGGGTTCAGGGGTTTAGGGTTTAGGGGTTTAGAGCTGTACCTTACAACACTTTTGAACTTCGTAAGCTCACATCATGGGTGCTAGGCAAGATGAAAAGCAGTTGCAACGCAACATGCGCCCCTATATGGAGGTTTCCCAAAATTGGGGTGGTGAGGGGGGGGGGTTGTTAACATTCTTGGTGGTCACCATCATAAGGATTGTAATATTTTTGGGATCTATATGAGGGTCCCCTTATTTTGGGAAACAACCATATAATCCCGAACCCAGACCCCTGATTAATAACCCCCCTCTAATAGGGAGTATAATAGGGATCCAAAAAAAGGCCTTAAAAGGAAGGGTTTATTACTCATACGTCTACATTGACCTGCACACAAGCAAATGATCCTGTCATGATGATACCGTAACTCCTTGCATCAGTAGCTAGAAGAAACAGACTGAAAAAGCGTAGCAGCACAATAACAACAACCCTTGAACGCAGTTGGGCAAAGTCAACAAGCATTGTACTAATAATGGTAACACTGGGTTTATAAGCATGATGAAAGCACTGCGTAAAAGCATGCATGAAAATTCTACCAGAAAGCAACACAGTAGTACTCATCCAAACGGCAACCATGTGGACGAGATCTGAAGTCATCACAAAGGGAAAACATCACAGCAGCAACACTGACAAACGGAATTCAACCGCAAGCAAGCCAAACTGCCGTCCACACCACACATTTATAACAACAATGATAATTTCTATTGAAATGGTCAAAATATGCTTGACACAAAACGTTCAGAATCATGATCTCAGTCGGGGATGAGCCCCCCAGGGCGCGACAGTCCCATGAGCAAAACCAATAGCATGGGAAATGCAGGAACACCGTGGCCACTAGCTGTGATGAGCCACAGTCTAAACTCCTAGCATCCGCCTTAACAAGGCCTATAGGAATCCCGTATACAATCGCCTATACGACCCCCTTTAGATTATGGCACTAGTGGAGGCAATGGCCTCGATACTCGATGAAGCAATTTTACGAGCGGGATACTAAAAGTTTAGACTACAGCTCATAAGAGCAGCGAGAAGAACGAAAATGAAGAAGCGAAAGGGAAGCAACGCGCCTATACCGAAGTATTCGGGAAAAGAACAAGAGCCCTCATAGAGGTTCAATCATCGTGAACAAGGGCGAAACAACGGTAAGCATGAAATGACATGGGTAAGAAGCCAAATGACCAGTCTCCACACTCTGAAAAGCAGCTTTCGCTGGAAGCAGCAGGTCTCCTCCACCGTCTTGATGAAGGGCTTGGTGCACTTTAGCACCAATCCTGCATTTCGAGTCTTGAGCAATAGAGGGCATAGTGAAGAAATGCAAACCTGCCACCTCCAAAGCTACAATGCCGAGGACCGCAACTAATGGGTTCGAACAAAAAATCGGGAAGATTTCTGAATCTACTGTCAGCTCACCATATGGCTGGACCCCTTGACTGGACTTTGAGAGCCTGGAGTTGGCTTATGACTCATTATAATAATTTCCCTTCCTTTTTCATCAATATTAATAGCAATACTAACAATAATAGTAATAATAATACCCCTATATAACCCAAAGCAATGACCGACCTTGATGAGGGCGACCTCCACTATGCTCATCCAGCACGTCTCGCTTGTAGCACCTTGGACATGCAAGCCGCGTTGGCTAGCGTAGCCAGTGTTGTCAGGTGGCATTCACTTGGGCATGCTCCTTGCATTTAGGGCGCGAAAACAGCTGAATTCCCAACTCCTTGCTGCGCCGCTCGATTTCCTGACGTGCCTTCAAGGTACAAAACGAGCCACGATAGTCAGCATGCCCCACTTTGTAGCAAAGCTCAAAAGCCTGAGTTGGAAGCTTACGGCAAGCTCAGGCCACCGTACGACAGGATTGGCAGACCCCATCCCTTGATTTCAAATCTCGGCTCAAGACGGAGTGCTGGCCTCGTCATCTTTCCTTGATGCAGAACACTGTACGGCAACTAAATGAAATTGAAACCTAAAACCTAAATCTTAAACCCCACACCCTAGACCCCAAAACCCTAAACCCCAAACCCTAAACCCCAAACCCTAAACCCCAAACCCCAAACCCCAAACCCCAAACTCTAAACCCTAAACCTCAGAACTCAAACACACCCAGGCGGCTTCTCCACTGTCACCCGACCCCTTCTCTGCTGGACCCAGAGAGTCTTGAAGGTGCGCTTCCCAGCTCGCAACGCCAGCAAGATGGGATAGACTCCAAAGAGATACTCATTCCTGAGGTTTAGGGGTTAGGGTTTAGGATTTAGGGTTTAGGGTTTTGGGTTTTGGGCTTAGGGTTCAGGATTTAGGGTTTATGTTTCCTGGAAATTTCTGGAGAAACATGTCAAAAACTCCGAGAACGACAGCACAACCAAAGCACTTGGAAGTTGAATAAGAAAAGCCATATAAGCCATAGTCTAAACTCCTTAAAAAGGGGGTGTATATAGGGCTTATACAGGGATTATCATTGGGGTTACTACAGGGGATACTAGGAGTCTAGACTATAACCCCTATAATTCCCTATATATTCCCAGTTTCCATGTCATTTTCCATGTTTGATTCTCCATTACTAAGGGGGATACTAGGAGTTTAGACTAGAGCTCATATGGAAGACGCATGGCCCAGGCACAGCTTGTAGAAGCCCTCCTCCCGGTCCACGCGCTTCCAGCTTTCAGTGCTCGCCTGGATTGCTGTTAAGGAACTTACTTTAAGTTACTATATTGGGGCAACCATATTAATTACTATATCTATATACCCATTGTGGTATCCCCAAAGACGGAAAAGAAAATGGGACATGAAATGGAAACCCTAGGTTCCTTTAAAGGGGATATAGGGATGTTAACACAAAAAGGTAGCATCAAATGGAGAAGAACACGGGAAATGAAATGTAAACAGTGTTTATGGGGTTCATATGGGGCAACCCAGGGTTTTGGGGTTTTGGAGTTTTGGGTTTGTGGTTTGGGGTTAGGGTTTAAGGGTTTGGGGTTTTGGGCTTAACCCAAGAATGGAAAATCAAATGGAAATGATACAGCATCAAATGGAAAAAAAGGAAAACGAAATGGAAACCTTAGGTCCCTGTAAAGGGGTCAGAATGAATAAACACATATTAAGAGGGGTTCGGGGAATAATGGAAACTCAACTGGAAAAGAAACTGATGGTAACTTACTTTAAGTTCCTCAACAGCAACCCAGTCGCAGGTGCGTTTGGGCGCAGGTTTCGCCGCGGGCTTGGTCGCAGGGGCCGCGGGCTTCGTGGCGGGGGGAACTTGTCGCTGGCTACGGCGAACAGGATCATGGCTGGAATCCCACAATATATTTATATATATGTATACATAGTGATTTATTTGTTTATCTATTTATAATGTACCTGTAATTCATTACAATATGCCTATAGTATACCTATGATATACTGTAATATGACTAGCATATACTAGAATATGCCATAATATCTTGTGGCCATGCTCTTTAGCTCAAAGCTTAAAGCCCCTTGACATCGCTGCCATAGCTACAGGGTCTAGGGTTTAGGGTTTAGGGGTGGGTATATCAAGTTGGTCGGCACTCTTCCTGCCGCCTAGGCCTCCTAAAGCGGCGCATGTTCTGGAACACAAATTTGTTCCGGCAGAAACCCTAAATCCTAAATAGTACTTTCCATGTTCTTTTCCATTATCCCTAACCCCTATACAGCTATTCCTATTTCACCCCTCTATAAGCCCCATATAACCCCGTATATAGCCTCTACATAGGCCCTATATAGCCCCTAAACCCTAAACCCCTAAACCCTAAACCTATATAGCCCCTAAACCCTAAACCCTGAACCCTAAACCCTATTCAGTGCACAAGGCTGGTCTGTGGTAGAGCTCACCGTGGCCTTCGGCTACTCGGAGCGCTGTGCTGCCATGGCATTTTGCTACCTAGTATTTTATAGTGGGGTATGACATAATATACTAAAAATATATAGTACAAAGGGTTTAGGGGTTAGGGTTTAGAGTTTAGGGGTAGTATAGTATAGTACAGTATAGTATACTATACTATACTATAGTAAGTGGCAGTAATACCCTGATGAGCTAGGAAAGAATTGAAGTGCATAAGCTACCCGCAGGGCGACATGTGAACTCTCACGGAGCACATGGGCACTTCCCTGTCATCCATGCTGACACGAGGCAAAGCCCTCACCAGCATCGCAGACCAGTTTGCCGGCAAAGTTTATTGTCCATGTCATGGTAAGTGCTCACTCTTCAACGGTGTTGTGGAGGGTACTGCCAGGCCTTTGGAAGACATTTTGAAAGAGGCTAACATGCTGCAAACGCAAACTGTCAATGCATGACATGCATGACTCTCAGCGTCCTGAGCAGCCCATGTTGTAAATGGCCTCTTAAATAAAAACTGCTGCTGGCCAAAAAGAATGCGCGTTAGATGGCATGTTCACACTGTCTCCTAAGCCAGTTTTCGCGTAGAGCACTTTTCTATGGTAGCCGGCCTGCCAAACTATGACTCTGCATAGTTCTGGCCATCATAAATCTGCCGCATCATGATTCCAAGCTGGCAGCCTAGGTGAGCCAACATCAAAGATGCTGCACCGATTTCGACACCTGCTCTTCCACTCCGTTGTTCCTATCTCTTTCCAAAGCATACTGGCAATGCCAAGAATTGGTACCGAACAGAACGGACCTTCCGGCCAAACATCACCGAAGAAGTCCAGGTGCGTCTCTAGGGACACTTCACTAGCATTAAGGCACAGCTGGCCTTTGGTTTCCTGGGAATGAAGGAATGGAAAAGAAAATGGAAACTACTAGAATGGGTTCTATAGGGATTTCTATAAGGATCCATTCCTTCATTCCTAGCTAACCAAAGATAAAGCCAAGTTTCTGCAGGGATCCAAACGAAGACGGAAAACGAGAGTCAAACATAAAATGCTGAGTGCAGCCTGAGGAATTGCCAGCCTTGCCTACACACTACAGCACACCGTACTTCTCGCCAAGCAAGATACAAGTCCACCAAGAAACACCAGCACCTGACCATCTTCAAGCAGGTACTCTGAACAAGAGATCATGACAACCCGAAGCCTCATACCCCTATCATTAATGTCTTCCCAATAGCCCTATAACATCCCTATAATTCCCATAATATCCCGAGAATCCCTACAATATCCCTAGAATATCCCGATAATCCCTCCAGTGTCCCTAAAATATCCCGATAATCCCTATAACATCCCTAGAACATCCCGATAATTTGCAGGAAACCCAATAGGGACCGCTGCAGTTCATCCATCATCCATAAGGCTGCACCCTTTCTTTCCAAAAACCAGGACCCTCCTTGTACCTTCAAATAGGGGTACATGGTCCCTGAAAGTAGGTATTTAGGGTATATAGAGGGTAGATGGAGGGTCCAAAAACTTGCAGTTGTGGAGAGATCTTGCTCCGCAAAGAAGCCAAACAGAAATTGAAGGTTTTAGGGTTTAGGGCTTAGGGTTCAGGGTTTAGCGGGCTATGGCGCTGCAAATTTGGTAGTTTCCAAACATTGGGGGGCCCCGATATAGACACAAAAGACTATAGTCCTTATTACTGGGACCCCTAAAAGGGCACCCCTTGCCCTAATTGTTGGGAAACCCTAAATCCTAAACCCTATGCGACTCCTGTAGAACCCATATATAACCCTTATGTAACCCCTAATTAACCCCTTTCAAGGGTACCCCTGAGTTTGGGAAATAATTTTGGGAAACCTTAAACCCTAAACCCTATATAACCCCCATAAAACCCTATAGAACCAAAAAAACGTTTCATGTTGCATTATCCCAATGCAACCCCAATATACTATAGTGGTTTCCATTTTCTTTTCCATTATCCCAAGATACCCTAAACCCTAAGTCTTAAACCCTAAATCCTCAACCCTAAACCCTAAATCCTAAATCCTAAATCCTACGCCCTAAACCCTAAACCCTAAATCCTAAACCCTAAAACCTAAATCCCCCCATTTGCCAAAGAGAAGTTGGCTTCATCGCAGAAGCTAGGTTTTGTGTAGGACTGAGGGTGAGCCTTCAAGGCATCCTTCAGCTTGCTAGTTGTTAGTAGGGAATAAGGGACATATTATATGCAAAATATCTTAATATATACATGTATGTATGATATTATGTTATATATCATAAAATGTGTGTGTATATATATATGATATCAAATATTATATATACTGTACATATATAACATATTGCATAATATATAAGGTTCAGGCTTGAGGGTTTAGGGTTCGTAGGGAATAAGGGATATATTCTATATAGATTATATTCCCGTAGCCCCTACTAAGAATCAGCAAGCTCTTCATTCTCACTGTCAGAGTCCCTCTCAGTCTCAGATGAGGTCGGTGAGGCTTCTGACTCTGCTGGGCTTGAGTGTATCGCTGAAAGCGTAGGCATGCCTAGACGGGACACAGAAAATTGAAGAAACTTACAGATGAGCTATAGCCTAAACTCCTAGTATCCACCTTAATAGCCCTTATAGTAGTCCCCTAGCCAACCCCCTATATAACCCCCGACATAAACCCCTTCAAGGAGTTTAGACTATAGCTCAAATCTTCTCCGCTCTGTCGCTGCAAAACTGGGATGCTGACATTCCGACAATTCCGTGACGCAGCTTGCAGAAGGTCCGGCTTTTGCAGCCTCAGGAGCTTCTCTCCGATAGACAGTGGGAAAACCATAGTAATCACTACATAGACCCATTATATTCAAGGTTTTTAAGGTTTAGGGTTGGTTTAGGGTTGGGTTAGTGTTTATATACACCCATTCATTATGGAACAAGATCTGCAAAAGACTGTGTTGCTGTTGCCATAATGGGCCGGGTATATAATGGGTATATGTAGTAATTCATATGGCTTCCCCGTTCTAGTAACTTAAGTTAAGTTCCTTCAATCCCTGTATTCCCCCAGCTTCCATTTCATTTTCCATTGTTCTTTTCCACTTAGTTCTCCATTACAGGGGGATAATATAGTAACTTAAGTTAAGTTCCTTAACCCTAAACCATAAAAATACAAAAATGCCTATATTATACCCCAAATATAGTAACCCTAAACCCTAAACCCTGAACCCCAAACCAGAAACCCTATATATATATATATATGTCCCTATATTATTACAAGCCAGGAGATGGACCGTACGCCAAGCCCCCTGCTTCATCTTTGCGGTTTTCCAGTGCAAGGAGCGGAGTCTGTACGACAGATGGCTGCCTGAGGCTTTCAAAAAGATTGTGTTGCTGTTTACGTAATGGGTATATAAGCCCTAAACCATAAACCCTAAACCTTAAACCAACCCTAAACCCTAAAAACCCTGAATTTAGTTGGGAAATGTAATGATTACTATGGGTTTCCCTATTATACCCGAGTTTGAATCCTTCCGTCTCCTGACCCACTGGTGGTTAAGTAGGGAATTGGGGAATATACTCCCTATATAATCCCTAGATACGATTTTAGGGTTTAGGGTTTAGGGCTTAGATACGATATTCCCTTATTCCATACTAACCCCCCAGGTAAGCTGAAGGATGCAATTCTGGTTCCAGCCGCCTCTGGATCTTCAGCCAGCCAACGCTACCTGTACGGGGATGCATTACTGGGCTGCTAGGGAACGTAAACTAAGTTGCCAGAATATGGGTTTAGGGTTTAGGGTTGCCAGAATATGGGTAAAAGCTAAGTAATAGGGTG